GGCGTCCGGTGAGGGGCCGGGGAGGGGGGAGTGGAGGCACCTCTGCGGGCCCGTCCCTCAGGCTCTGGATGCGGTTATTGTTGTGTTATAGGAACCCTCTTTGTGTTTTGACGGCTTTTACAGGAACATCATCTTGAACAACCCGAGGAAGAGAAACGCCCTGTCCCTCGCCATGCTGCAGTCCCTCAGGGAGGACCTGCTGCACGACGTCAAAAGCAAAGACCTCCGAGTTATCATCATTTCAGGTACTTCGCGTCACTTCAGGCCAATGGAAGAGAAGGCGGGGGGCGAGGGAAGGAGCAGAAAGGGGGATGATATGGAGTTTAAGCTGAAATCTCTCACAGAATTACAGAAAATGGGAAGGGGCCTGGGTGCTGTTCTCCGTACTGCTGGCCGGGCCCCTGCAGGGTGTCCTGGGGGTGCCTCACCCTTCACACCTCGCTCTCTGCTCTTCTTTTATACGCATCCCAGTGTCCGCTCTCATGTACTTAATTCCTCATTCTTGAACACGGCATTAACAATTCACTTGGGCTTTGTTATATTTTTGTTGATGGTTGACACACTAGGAACAGGTCTTGAAGTGTCAGTATTGCAGTCGGGTTGTGCATTGTGTTTACAGAGTCGATGAGTTTTGTCCTTTTGTATAAACAATCAGTAGATGAAATAACTGGTTTAAAAACTGTATGTAAAGAATACTTTAAACAGAGCAAAATCCAGGTTCTAATGGTTATTGAACTGAAGAAATTACATTCCCAGGTACAGGTTTTCATGCAGGAACGGGCTAAGCTGGTATGACACTTGTTGCCTCCGGTGGCAGGTGTAGACCGTAGTAAACAGGGCTCACAAGGTTTCTTCACATCATGCGCTCTGTTCGCTTACTCTAAGCCAGGATCAGCCTCGCTACCTTTGCCATTGGTTTCTCAAAACTGTTCTTAAAACTCTCCGGTGAAGGAGCGACCATAACAGTGATACTGCAGTCACCCAGAACCTGCAGATGTAAAACATTATCTCTCAGAGCCTATTACAGTTTTCTTCCATTTAGGTATTAACCTGTAGAGTTCTTAAAGATAATGAAACTTGAGCTCTTCTTAAGCCATCTTTTTTTGCTCTGCTATTTTAAGATAATCTTCCCCTGACACCCTTCCAAATGTCTCGGAGAAATAGGTTTATTAATTTAGGATGCTGCTGTTTCCTGTACATAGAGGAAAACACTGTGTGTTAGTTCACACACACATGAGAGTGGAAGTAAGTGACTTCACAGGGGTGAGTTTAAATGTATAAATTCAATGTTTCAAACAGCAGTTACAAATTTTGTGAAACACTTCAGGTTCTTCTTTGGGAGTACAGTAGTCTGGGAGTTTGAGAGCACAATTTCATTTGTTTTTTGGTTTTAATTTAAAAAGAAATTGCATGTTCCTCTTGATTTCCAATTCCCTTGCTGAGTGGAATGCAAAAGAAGAAATCTCAAAAAAATAAAACACTTCTCAAGGAATGTTTTGAGTCTTTAGTACAGACTTAGCAGTAGATTCTTCTTCAATGAGGCACAAATACAGATGTGATTAATTTCCAGATACGTATTTCTGGATAGACTGTGCCACAATAATCTGGTCCGTAAGAAACAAATGCATAGCTAAAGTTGTGTCTGCATAGTTGTAGCTGGAAGTGTCATGTCCGTACAAATAAATGAGAAGTTCTGAAGGATTCAAAAGCATCAAATTTGTTTATTCTTACAGCAGATACGTGCTCGTGACAAAGGAACACTGTTGTAAAGATGGTGTACCCGTAAAGGGTGTTTTGACCTTAGCTGCCACTGGAGGCAAGCAAATCCAAAACTTAAGTCTGCAGAAGACTGTTCATTTGCTGCCCAAACCCTGGACATGTTTTTTGGGATTCTCTAGATGACAGTTTTAGCAGTGAAGGAAAAGATGCCCCAACAACCCCTCTGGTTCTCCTCTAGCAGAACAACCTTTTTTCTTTGTTTTTTCTATTGTGGCCTTGAACATCATGACAGCAAAATCTCGATGTTTGTTTAGCAAAAGTTCATTATTAGTGCTAGATACTATAAATAGGGACTAACTGTATTTACTAGTCTGAGAGCAGAGCACTCCATTCTTGCTCCAGCTGACTAGTATATATTGTACCAAGGAGCTGTTTAGAACAGTATCCTTACAGGAAACTGGGATCAGAGGTGTGAAGTGCCTTATTTTTAACTGAGTTAACTTGGGATGGAAGTAAAAATAGGCCTTTAAAAATGTTTATGTTTGTTAGAATCATAGAATCATAGAATGGTTTCGGTGGGGGGGACTTAGAAGACCACGGAGCCCCCCCCCCCCTGCCATAGGCAGGGACACCTCCCACTAGACCAGGTTGCCCAAGGCCATGTCCAGCCTGGCCTTGAACACCTCCAGGGATGGGGCCTCAACAACCTCTCTGGGCAACCTGTTCCAGTGCCTTACCACCCTCAAAGTGAAAACCTTCTTCCTAATGTTTAATCTAAACCTGCCCTCTTCCAGTTTATATCCATTCCCCCTCGTCCTGACACTACATGACCTAGTAAAAAGTCCTTCCCCAGCTCTCCTGTAGGCCCCCTTTAGGTACTGGAAGGCCACAATAAGATCTCCCTGGAGCCTTCTCTTCTCCAGGCTGAACAGCCTCAGCTCTCTCAGCCTCTCCTCATAGGAGAGGTGCTCCAGCCCTCGGATCATCCTCGTGGCTCTCCTCTGGACATGCTCCAGCAGGTCCATGTCTTTTATGTTGAGGACTCCAGAGCTGGATGCAGTACTCCAGGTGGGGTCTCACAAGAGTGGAGCAGAGGGGCAGAATCACCTCCCTTGACCTGCTGGCCACAGTTCTTTTGATGCAGCCCAGGATTACTGTGGTTAAACGTTGCATTGTGGCAATTTAAAGTTGCTCCAAAACCCAGAAGGCAATGTTACAGATCTCTGTGTGAAACTCCCTCCTGAAGCTCCTGTTTGACCATTGACACCTCATTGACGTACCTTTAGCTGGGGCACTGATACGCTGCTGCCCCTGGTTTCTTGATTAATTCAGACTTTTCCTGAAATTCTTTGCAGCTGAAGGACCTGTCTTTTGTTCTGGCCATGATTTAAAGGAACTGACAAGTGAAGATGATGTGAAACATCATTCCCAAGTATTTGAAATATGTGCAGAGGTAAGCAGTTAAGTGCCACCCCTTTTGCCTGGTATTAAGAGCAAAACAATGATACTGGTTTAAGGAGGGACAGCATTGCTCATTTGCTAGCTAAAGCACAGACTCTTCTTTGCTTTTTGCTGCTCTGCCATTTTAATACCTGATCCTGGTGAAATTATGTTTTCCCTGGATTTCTCTACTTGCAAATAAAAGGGCTAGAATACCAATGTGCATGTCTCCTACAGTGGGTACAGTCATGACATGTTCCTTAGTTTAGCCAGTGTTCCTTGCAGCTGAGTATTTGGGCAATGTCTTTGCTAGAAATCTACGGATAACCACCTTCAAATCACTTGTGATCAAATGTTCTTTCCCAGCATCTAGCTAATAACTCAAGACCAGCTTAAACGTCAAGTAGACAATGTGAAAGTAAGATCTGGCTTGCTGGTTGCGCAGTCAGCGGACCATACCAAGTTCTTGTTACAAAGGCATAGACCTGGAAGTCAGGAAGTTAAAGTGAATCCCACAGCCTTTGGAGAGAATGGCAAACCCCCCTTTGATTGTAACGGCACTAGAATTTGACACCTAATCCTGCTCAGTGTGACCACAGAAAGTAATTTGAAACCTTTTGTTCTAGTTCCTCGAGTAATAATGATCTCTGTGCACATTGTCAAGCCCATATTTGACACATGCTGTAAAATCCATGTGTGAAAGTTACCACTGAAGGGCCTTCAGTGTAATATGAAGCAATCATCCTGGCAGCTTTGCCTGGATTTCATTTTGGTATGCTGATCACACAGAGGTAAGCACAAATATGACTGAGTGACAGGCTTCATCAGAAAGGAGCCAAGGTCTAATAGTTTACCAGCCAGTAGTTTAATATTAATTTTGCAGTTGCAGGGCAGAATATCAGTATGTTGTCAGTATAAAACTGAACCATGCAGCTTCTGGATCACAGAATAGGAAAGATCAGGCAGAAAATACGTGAAACTTATTCCATATAGCATGAAATCAAGAGTTGGTAAATTTCTCATTTTAAGGACCAGAATTTAAATTATCTTATATGTATATCTAGCATTGTAGCTATATTCAGGATTAATGAGTAGTGTAGCAAGCTTAACTTTGATTAATAACAAGAAATAGTGAAAAATAACAGAATGTCAGCATTTAGAGTTAAAAACAACAAAGCCTGCTTGAGTAGGGGGGTTGGACTCAATGATCTCAAGAGGTCACTGCCAACCTAAATGCTTCTGTGAAATCGGCAACGCAAGTTCAGGAAGAAATTAAATATAAGAGATGACATGACAATTGAAGAGATCCCTTTTCTGATGTTGATGGTAGTGACAGGTGCTTTAAACTCTCTACCTAAGTATCCTAAAGGGATTTAAGTTTCTCATAAATCACAACTTGCTGTTATCCTCGTGGAGGAAGAAGGTCTTACTGTTAAATAATAATGACACTTTACAGGCAAACAGTAATAGAGACATTAATTTAGGCTTTATTTAGGATCCTAACTAATATCTAGATTTTAGTTGTCTGGTAGAATAATTGACTGTAGCTTTTTTTTTGGTCAGCAGAGAGAGAAAGGTACTTTCGAGGGCTTCCAAAATGAAATCATGTCTTCCTAAATTTCAGTACTTAAGTAGAATGGATCCAACCCTAAGTGACATGCCTACAGCATTACGGACTAGGGGGCCCAGAGCACTGGACTGGTTTACAGGAACCTTGGCTTCTACATCTGTCTATGACTGGTAACCTTAAGCAGATCATGTCAGCTGCTATATCTCTGTTTCCCCATGCATATAACAGTGTTAGCAATACTGTATAATGCATTATCTGACAACTAAGTACTCTCCACATACAGTTTGAGACAGCTGAGAATATCATAGAGAGGCTTTTCAAATACAAAACCATAAGTACCAGGGTGTTTGTTTTATTTTTTCGGAGAAGCAGTTGACTTTGAATTTTTATAACCATGAGAGTACTCTATAGTTTTTTGTCTGCATATGTATTGTTGTCTGCTTCTATCTTTTAAACAAAGATAGAAGAACGGAGACAAAGACTGATCAAATTCCAAACTGAATGTAGGAAATTTTACCTAAGCAAGATAAAATTTGCTAGACTTAATCTACTGGAGAAATTGAAGTAGCAAATGAAAATTTGTTATCTTGCTACACTGTGCTAATATGAGATTATTTTATTTTTTTAATTTGGATAATGACTGTAATAATTTAACTAGCGTTTTCTATCTTCAGGCATTAAAATTAGATGAGTTTGTTGATTCCCACTATCTGGAAACAGAACCTGAGTTAGAAAAGTTAAGACAAATTCATCTTTCTTAACTTCAGCTATCTGAAGTTGAATATCCAACCTTCAAGAATTATCTCAGAGAGAGAGAGAGAGAGAATAAGTGTGCTTTCCCATCTTATGTCTAATGCAAGCAGGAAAAAATATTTCCTGGCAGGTAAGCCTCTCCCTGGAACGCAGAGTAAGCCTAGAAAGACATCCAGTGATTCTGTGTGGATGAGATCAACCCAGGCTCAAGATCATGCAGAAACCAGCAAGAGGCTGGTTTAATTTCTTGGGACAGAGACTTTTATTAACTTAGTTTTCCCTTATGGGACAACTGAAGGTGGGGATGGTGTGTCTCCATACACGTGTTCCCACAGCCAGGAACACTATAACTGCAGTGCAGAGGCACCCAGGCTCTCATTGCAGATCTGTTAACAAGTGTTTCTGCCTTTCATTTTTGTGTTCTCCATTTGCACTGGTGCTAGCAGGACCATCTCATGCTACATAAACACAACTGAGCAGCTACTGGAACAGCAGTGGTCTTGTGCATTAAAACAAGTTTTGCAGAGAGTTTACTTCTTTTACTAAACTCCAGTTAATAAAGATGAAGAATGCACACATCAGGTGTGTGAAGCAGTTGCAAGTTTTAGAACAGCCACTGCTTAAATTTCAGGGACTAACTGACCACCTTCTTTTGTGCATGCAGGTTATGACTTTAATCCAGAAACTTCCCGTACCAGTGATTGCCAAAGTAAATGGCTTGGCTACAGCAGCAGGCTGTCAGCTTGTGGCAAGCTGTGACATTGCAGTGGCAAGTGAGAAATCTCAATTTGCTACTCCTGGTGTAAACATCGGACTGTTTTGCTCCACACCAGCTGTGGCCTTGGGCAGATCTCTTCCAAGAAAGGTAGGCTTCCTCCCCCGGTACTCTAATTTTGCAAGAAGTAGGTTCCTATGTTAGGAGTTTTAGTTCCATTGCCTAAACTTTACTTCCCTGCAGTACAACATTCAAAATTCTTCATTGCAAAAGACATCTTCATAACTCTTTGGACTGGGAAAAATAATAAAGGGATGAACTCTGTTTAGGGAAAGCAGCTTCCTACTGATGCGATTCCAACCAGCATGAACTCATACCAGCAGTACACCAGCTCAGCGATCCTTTTCCTTTCCCACAGACAGGGCTGTCCTTTAGACAATGATGTGCTCCCCTGGTGAGGAAACCCCTGCAAGTTCAGGATATCAATCCCACCAAGGTATCAATTCTTGCCAGGCAGTGACATTTCACTGCCAGCATGATCTGCCTAGGTGTAGATCAAGATGCTTTAAATAGCATCTAAAACCCTCCTATACTTTCTTCCTGCTTTATTTCCTACTGATTGCGACTACACATCTCTCACTGCATAAACAATAGTAAATCTGTAAAGCTTCTGTAACTGAGAAAAGAAATTTTAAGTTCTGATCTAGTTAGATTCATGCTGACAGACTGTCCAAGCCCAGCAAGGCTCTGCTGAGTGAGATGCAAGGACTTAACTGCACAAGTCCAATTGCTGGATAAAAGCTTCAACTTTAAATTTCCCATCTGTAAGGCCATCCTGTTCAAATATAGTGTGTCTGTGGCGTTTTGGGTTTTTTTCCAATGTGCTATAGTGTACAGTTCTAACTGTTTCTGAATTAGTATTTCTGGGTTTTATGATTACCTTCTTAAAAAGCATGGGGTATGCTTTTCTCTGTGCCACTTTTCAAAGTAGCAAGAACATTCCCTACAGTTCACAGGATTACTGATTTTACCATTTATCGAATGAAAAGTTGCTGTTGTTTCTATCTACTAGAGCAAAGATACTAATGAGGATAATCAGCTCTTATGATTCAGGGCATCGGTCAATTGCATCAGGAGTCATGGAAAAAATATTCTTACTGATATATAACATTGAAAAGTCACTGAGTATTTGGGTGGTTTTTTAATTTGAAACCTCAAGTACAAGATGCTGGAAGTGGCAGGAGATTGAAGTAGATGTGGCTATAAAAAGGACATATTTAAAAACACCCCAACCAACCTTAAACTAAGGCAGGTATTTTCAAAAACTACACATTGACGTAGTATTTATCATTATATGCCCAGCTTAAAATACCGAGTTCGATCATTTGACATTGTGGACCATCCACATCTCTCTTAATTCCTACTGCAATTGCTAGAGATTCTGGGCTGTTGAAAAGAAGCTCACGAGGTGTCAGCCTAGGACAGCTGCAATCAGTGGGCAGGTTTGAAAAAAGGCCAGCTTTAGACCCAGTCCTTCTCTTTGCTGAAATATCCCCTTGGCAGTTAACCAGGCCAAAAGATTTAAATCTTAACGTTTTTCAAAAGAGTAACTTGCACTTGAAGGAGGAAGCTGAAATACACCAAACAAACCAAATGAATAAGGCAGTTGAATTGACTTAATACGATGTTTTTTCTTGTTTAGGTGGCATTAGAGATGCTTTTCACAGGTGAACCTCTTTCTGCCCGAGAAGCATTAATGCACGGGCTTGTCAGCAAGGTGGTACCAGAAGACAAGCTGGAAGAAGAGACCATGAAAATCTCTCACAAGATATGTGAAAGCAGTAAATCCATCCTGGCACTGGGGAAAGCCACCTTTTACAGACAGATGACACAGGACGTCGATACTGCTTACAAAATGACTAGTCAGGTCATGGCAGACAATTTGACTTTGAGAGATGGGCAGGAAGGTATTGAAGCCTTTATTCAGAAACGTAAGCCTGTCTGGTCACACTCTCAGGATAAGAAATGAATCCTGTTTCTAAGCTAACCTTATCTGTGCTTTATGATTCTTCACATAGGGGCCTTTGGGAACTATATTTCTGTTCTTACCGAAAGTTAAATTTCTCTTCTTACATATGCCAAAGCCACAATAAATTTATCCTAAGTGTATAATAAATGTTAAGAAAAATCAAACCAAAAGGGTTTTTTCAGCAATGAATTTAATCTATGGTTTTAGAAGGAACTCTGTGCTGCCAAAATCAGTTTAATATGTGCCAGGTCACTTAGGGAATCACAGGGACTGGGAGAGAGCTCAGATCACCCTGTTCAGTACCCGTCCCCCTAGTTCTGGATAAGAATTTCCATTTGTTGCTATTAATAGAGAATTAAAGGGCTTGGACACATTCCAGAGATGATGACAGTACATATCATAATGTATTCCAATACTGTTCATATGTTACAGGCAAAAGCCTGCAACAGTAGTCCGTTGCTCCTTATGAATATATCTGCTTATGAACTGTATGTATTATTCATTTGTCTCCCTCAGCAAATCCTGTTTTTCCACCATCAGTTCAAGCACTCGTCCCAGCTGTAGAGAATTTTGCTGTTGGGTCCAGTGAGGCTGAGCATGGCTTGGGGGTGTTAGTTTCAGTAGGGCACACTGTGAAAGCCACTGCCTGTGGGCTTCAGAAGAGATTCTCACCTGCCACTGTTTTGACCAGCTGTAATTTTCAGGCTGTATGTCCTCAGTTTATCACAGAATCTTAGCTGTGATAGTTGGAAAGTCCACCCTTGTGCTCAAAGCTGAGCTTTTACCGACACTGGAACAGGTCAGTTATGGACGTAAGGTCTTGACAACCTCCATCAACAGGGATTCAGCTGCTTCTCTGGGTAATCTGTCCCAGTGCAGTGCAACCCTCCTGGTGAAAAAAATAAAATTGTAATGTCCAGTCTGAGCTTCAAAGCAGCAGTTGTTGACCATTACCGCTTGTTATATTATCTGACATTATTGAGAAAACTTCAGCTCCATTAGCTTTCTGACTCTTCAAGCAGCCACAGGCTGTGGTTAGACTACACTTAGACTCCTCTGTGCCAGACTGAACAAGTCCAGCTTCCTCCACTCTCCTTGTAGGTCATGTTCTGTAGGTAACCAGCTTGGTGGACCAATTCCAGTTTCTCCACATCCCTTTTGTGCTGGTTGTGCCAAAACCAGAGTATATTCCAAATATGGCCTCACCAGTGCTGGCTGAGCAGAGGAGAAGAAAATATTCCCTCCATCTGCTCTCCGCTTTCAGCCAGTCCATATTGCTCAGTATGCATTTTGTCGTGTTTGTGATGAGAGTGCACTCTTGGCTCGTATTCAGCTGGGCATCCACTGTAAGCCCAGTTTCAGCAGGGCTGCAGCTTTGCCAGTCAGCTCCTAGCCTGTACTGGTGCTTAGGGTTATTCTTCCCCAGGTGCAGAACCTTGCATTTCTCCTTAGATTATGGTTCTTCTGGATTGAAGCCGGGCCATTTGGTGTGTCAGCCATTCCCCCAGTTTTGCATCATCTGCAGATTTGCTGGGGATGTATTATTGATGATGATACCAAATGATATAAGCCTCAGTATCAATCCATGGTGATCAACATGGGATGGTCTCAGCAAAAACATTTTTTCTGAAGTTCCACATAGCCAAATCATGAAGGCTGATCCATTTTATCCTTAAATAGGCATCTAAGAAAGACCAGGTGAATCACTGTACGGACGGGCCTTTTTTATTTTGTTGACAGTAAAAGTAGGCTAAAGTGCTTAGTTCAGACTTGGGTGTCTTAAGTTAGATCAGATGAATCCTACCTACAGCTACTAAAGCTCCAAATGTGGAAGTATCATGAATCAAGAAGGACATTTTTAAGGTGTGTTTGCTCCTGTGTCCTTGGTGCCCTGTCTATACGAGTGTTAGTTCATTCCTCAGCTCTCGGCTGGAGTGAATCAGATACCCAGTAAAGTCCTGGGACAGTTCTCTCCAGGGATTGATCAGTCCCAGGCAGTATGGATGAGTCCATACCAGCTTTGGCTCACTCTGCCCTTCACAATCCCCTGATACTATCCCCATCGGCCTTGCCTGACACTCCTGAGCATCCTCATCATCATGCTAAAAAACACCCTGCTGGCAAGCCTGCCTGTTATTTTGGGCATTTTGAACTGAAAAGCTGCCACAATGAAAAGTCAGTACTTAGGTCTTTGGCCCTTTGGGCCATGAGGGTGTTTTATGGAGCTAGGGGAAGCCCAGGCCAAGTGCTTTGCAATGCAGTTGCTGCAGGTCTACTTCCGAATGACCTAAGCATGAGAGCCACCTTGCAAAGGCTGATGTTGGTAGTGTCAGCCTGGTCATTGTCCCCGTGTTATGAGAAGTGGTCTCATGGTTCAGTCAATCTGCCTCCCACGTAGTAGCGACGGTCTGTATTGTCAGGTGCCCTGCTGGGATCAGGGGGTTGAATGACACTTTGCTTCCCGAGTAGCAGAATTAAATTCTGTTGTTCCTTATACTGGAGCAAGACCTGGATCATTTGGAGCAAAAATCAGCGTCTCTTCTTTCTAACTGGCCTACACATTTTAATGCAAACCAGTGATATAAATACTCATACCATTTATACGTATACAGTTCCACAAAGCAATTCTCCTTTCTGTCTACAGTGCATACTCAGGATGAAAAGAAAGCAATTTCCAGTTCTGGTGCTATTTTCAATTTGAGGAACGGAAACTTAAACTTGAATTCACCATTAAAAATAGTTTATTTCTATAGGAATGTGAAAAATGTGGATCACTGGGAATAGTTGTTTTAAAAATATAAACTTTTATTGTTACTGCTAGGAAAGATGGGTAAGTTTTATATAAATACACACAGATTATCTAGGTTAGGAACTGTTATGAGCAGCTAAGAGATAGAAGGGTTAAATCTGGAGACAAATAACCTTCATCATGTCCTTTTTAATGCAGTAAGATGCTGCACTTAGACTCTGTTCCCACATGCTGCTCTAAAAGCATTAGGAAAGAGTAAATTGTTTTTAAAAATATTTATATTTAATGGCTATCTTGCAACTACTCAGCAAATTTCTACTGGCTCTTTTGTTCCAGGCTTTTAGAAATAAGTACATTATCTGATTTTTGCAGAACAGTGCTCTTTCCAACTAAATGGAGTAATAAAATGGTTTCACTGGCTATCTTAAAACATGAGTGATAGTTTAGATGAGCACATTCTTTCAGATATTTAGAAATTCTCCTTCTACAATTGATTGCCATCTACACAAAACTGGGTTTGGCATTATTATTAACTCCTGGTTATAATTTTTGAAGAAAAAAGATCTACATTTTTAAAGAATAATTACTTCATTTGAAATAGCTATACTGCAATGGAATCAAATTTTGGTCATCTTACTCCTGCACATGGATTAATTTAATTTGAATGGCCTCATAAGACACTAATGTTACAAAGACATATAGGTATCTGTAGCATTATTCACTGTGAGCAGACTGACACTGATGGAAGTGCTATGTAAAGTTAAGAACAGATGCAGTTTAGCAAGACAAAATGGTAATGGAAAGGGAAGTTAACTATCAAAAGTGGTGTTCTGGTTGTTCATAAGATAAGCAGAGGGTAGGAGTGTTACCTTATTGTTGGCTTTCCATGTAAAAGACCAAACACCACCATGCCTCGAGCTCCTTCACAGTTCAGACCCGTGGAAGCTGAAGAGGCACAGCGCTCTGGACGGCTGAGTACAGATCCTTAAGAACACTGCTCTTCTGGGCTCATGGTCTTTTTCAGTCTAATCCACGGGTATGACAAATGTTTGTGTTGTACTTTCAGATCTTGAAGAGAAAAAATGTAAGTATGTTTAAACTCAGTTTTCACAGTATTTGTTTGTACTATTCTATGCAATAAAGTAATCATGTAATTAGTAATGATCAGTTCCAAAAATGGTGGTGTCCACAGGAACATTTCCCTTTTCCTTAAGCCACTAGACAGAAAAGCTTCAGGTTTTAGAACATTCCTGCACTGGCCCCTGTGGATTGTCAAAGCAACATCATTTTTCATTTCTGACTTGTGTGGGATTTTTATTTTTGTCCACATCTGCCTTTATTGTTTAATTTAACGGATTTACAGGCTATTCCTGGGAAACAGACCGGTTCCAGAACTGTTAATTAAGTTCTACAGCCAAGAAGCAGCAAACCAAATGATATATTGGGAGCTGTACCGCTGTGGCTATCTGCTGCCTGAGGAGACAGTTTGTCCCAAAATAGCATGGAGTCTATCCCTTGTCATCCCATTCATTTTTATTAAAGAATGTGCTCTGCAGTGATGTCTGCCAGGTAATTAGCCTAGTTTCAAGTGACCCTAATAGCATGTGGCATACACTCAGCCTTCTCTGTAAACTAAGTATGACTCCATCTGTGTACAGCCTCTAGGATGCAGCTTATCACCGCAAATGAAAGACGGGGACACGTTTTCTCTTCATATACACAGGAACAGCTGGAAACTGGTCGAGAAAATGCAAGCAAGGAATTGCCAGTATGAATGTAATGAACTATGCAGCCACTGACCTCAGAGGCCATGGAGGCCTTAGAAGAATGGCTTTGAGCCTTTACCTGGAAATTTTAGAAAAGATGTATAAGCAAAATCTGGAGGATATGATCACATCATGACTTGTGATGTAGCTTCAGGCTGCCTTCATGAACGAGGCAAACAAACAAGCCGGGGATCAGCCATAGCTAGAGTAACACTCAGCACAAGGTTGTTCTTAATTGATGGACCAGGCAACAGTGTGCCTCACCACATCATTTAGGGGATATATGCTGAAGATAGAGTTAAATAGAGGACTCAGGTGATGGGCAAGGTGTTTGTACCTTCCGTGTTCCACAGAGTGGAAGAACAGAATGGGACTTTTATATAAACTTTTATATCAACTTCACGTGGTTTTCTTACAGCCGCCCAGCCCAGAATTCAGCAGACTGGGTAAGAATTAGTTTTGCGTTGGTTTGAAGTAGTCTCATGTGGCTGTGGAGGAGAAAGCTTGAAAATATGTACTACAAAGGCACAAAAAGCTGGACACAGTTAGCATTAAAAATACATGACTAATTCATTGGCAAAAGTCAACATCACAGTTTTTACCATCCAGCTCGTGATTTCTGAGCATTTGGATGGCAACACTGTGTCCTTCAGAGAATTGCCTTTG